CTAATTTAACAAAGAGAATCCCCTGTGGACTTCATTAGTACCACTAAACTCACAAAGTATTGGTTGTTAAAAGAAAATGCTAAAAGTTGCATTCTGATACACTATTTTTAGCTACAAGTGTGTGCAAGTAAGGCATTATTCTATTTTCCTTCACTCGATCCTGTATTACCCTGCCGGGAAAAGAGCTCGACAGACTTGTGCCAAGTTAGATAAGAAGGGGGTAGGAAAGGTGAGGCTGCACTACAGCAATTATATTCCCGTCACCGCTAATGATGACAGGCAGCCCGACCTGAGAGTCAGCCATCAATCACTGCGTGGGCATCCGACTCTGGAGGCAGCGGCCTACAATTTCTTGCCCATCGAACTGGTTCCAGTAAAGTGGAGAAAAAAAAAACACAGGCAGATATCAAGACCTGCACCTCAATTAGAGCCTCTATGAGACAGACGTAATGGCACAATGTGATCCCAATTACTCCAAACCCGCAAGACCTAGAGGAAACTCTCAGATGAACACACCTCTGAACTTAGAGATGAGATGAAGTGGGCTGCGTAAAGATTTTTTATTGATGGCCACAATTACGTGAAAACACAGAAGATAAGAGATTCAGCCAACATAGACTCAAAGGGCAGCATGTCATGCATCTTCACACACACAATGTCAGAATGAAATACAAAATGGGCTTAAAGGATGCAAATATAGACCATTTGTATTTTCTCCGATTTTGAACATTATTCTTTCTGGAACTATTTTTAAAAACCATTCGGATCAAAATAATAAAATAAGAGGAAGCTCTCAGATGTACTCACCTTTGACCTCAGAGATGAAAAGAGATGAACACTTTTTTGTATTATTTGATGGCCGCAATTGAACACAATCTTATTTACTATGTGAAAACACATTTGAATATAAGAGAGTCAGCCAAGATATTCTCAAAGGGCAGCATGTCATGCATCTTAATGTACAAAATGCGCTTAAAGGACACAAAAATAGACCATTTATAGACTGACTACAATGCAGCCAAGTGGGACATTATATAAATTTGTAGGTATTTTCTCAAATTTTGCACATGAACATTAAAGCACAAATTCTTTCAGGAACTATTTTTACAAACTGTACCATACAGATCAAAATCATAAAATAAGCTCCCAATTACTTGAAACCGCAAGGAAACTCTCAGATGAACTCACCTTTGAACTCAGAGATGAGATGAAGTGGCCTGCGTAAAGAGATTTTTTATTATCTGATGCCCGCAATAGAACACAATCTTCTTTACGCTGTGAAAACACATTGGAATATAAGAGAGTCAGCCAACATATTCTTAAAGGGCAGCGCATCATGCACCTTCACATACAAAACGTCAGAATAAAATACAAAATTGGCCGAATGGATATAAAAATAGACCATTTGTAGACTGACTATGATACAGCCAAGTGGTAAACTATATGCATTTGTAGGTATTTTCTTACATTAACATTAAAACGCAAACTCTTTCAGGAACTATTTTTACAAACTGTACCTTTCGGATCAAATCATAAAATAAGAGATTCACAGTTACAGGTAAAAGTCAGATTTGTAGTCTCTGAGAAGGGAATCTTGCTATACAGCCGTTTCATGCTTCCACAAGCCAGTCTTGATATTCCCAGAACTCTCCACGTTCAGGGGCGACAAATTCTGTAGCCTCTCAGAGTCTTTGGCAGGTCCATTTTGGCACGCTAGGTTCAACCCGTAAGACTTGGGCTGCACCTCCAGTTCAACAGCGAGGGGCTGTTTTGGACAGTCTCTAGTTTGGCTGGTGACGTCGGTCCCCGATCCGTCCCCTCCTCCGTCTAAGCCTCCATTACTGATGCCGTTCCCCACGTTGTTGCTGAGCCCATGCCCAAAACTGTTACCCGGGCGGACGCCTCCACCTTTGGCGAGGTGCCGCGAGCGGCGGGGCACACTGGTGCTGGCGTCGCTGCTGTCCTGATGAAGTTGGCTCTGCTGGCGCTCCCGGTAAGCCAAATACGCCGCTCGTCGACTGTTACGGGCCTGCAGACTCTCGTGATGATGGTGGCGCTTGTGCGGGAGGCTCTGCACGCTGCCCTCCACGCTGGTGGGGACGTCGTACGAGTACTCGCGCAAAACCGTGAGCCTACTGGCCCGATGCGCTCTCGTACGGTTCTTGTGGTGTCGCCCCGAATGCCCGTTGATGTTTGCGTTGCCCGTTCCTGGAAGATTGTTGTTGTTGACCGAATTGGGCCGATATTGGACCTCGATTGGTGCGACGTGCATCTTAATCTCATTGTCGACTGAATGTTCAGTCAAGCTGTTGTCCAATAACACCGTCCCATTGGCCGTAGAAGGGGCCGCTTTGCATTGAGCTGCTTCCACTTGCAGATTGGTCAGTTTACAGCCTTGGGTGGAGTTACGGACGCTCTGCGCACTCTTATTGGTGCACGAGGATTCAGCACTGCTGGCTGGACGCTTTGCACTTTCGCCGTCTCCCCTTGGTGTCAAGACAGAGCCTCCGGCTCCCGCGACTGGCAAAAGCAGGGAATCGATCTGTACGGCGTAGTTGCTGCGAACGAGGCAACAAGCTCGTGACCAATGGCGCCGCATGTCCTGACGGTTCATGCAATGGTGCGCCACAAGAAACGCCCCGAGAGCCAAAGCGGCGGCGCCGAAGAGGCAGGCGAACACCAAATCTGCCGGATGCTCTTGGGACACCGCAAGAGCGCCAAACACACACAGAGCGACATAAAGCGCAAGAGATCCTGCCACGCCGATGAGCTGGGCCACAAAAGTGTGCTCGTTCTCCAGAGCCGACATCGGGACCGGTTGATCGGCGGCTGCAGACGAGGACTCCAGTAGGGCCGGTGTGATTTCGGTCACTTCGGCCACAGAAAGGTGCTGCTGCTCCTCAGACTGTTCCTTGAGCTCGAAGCGGCGCTCGGGGTGCCGGCGGAGCTGAACGAGAATGCTGAGGAAGTACATGCAGTCCACGAAAACGATGAAGGCTGCCGGGCCGTAAAACGCACCAAGACTGGGTTCCCATGCCATCCAGCAGCTGCCGAAAGACAAGAGATGCTTTTTAAAGTCTATAGAAATTAAACTTCACCCTATTTACTTTCTAAATGCATGTTATTGTTCTTAAGTGAGCCGTTCATTTGTGTTTGTGTTACAACAATTTTGCTGACTTCGTAGTTGTTAATCAGAATATCATAACTGGATAGTCCAGTGAAAATACAGACTTCTCTCTAGTGATGTATGCTGGACCTCTCCAAAAATGTTGTCCATTTTAACCTGCCCCTTTCTTATGACAACTGTAAGCTCATTCTGAACTGAATGCTTATATTGCTGTTTAACACTCAAAAAAACTAAAATGCCTTCATAAATACATTCCGATAAGGCCATTTGATTACAACACAAATTGTAATGGTTGATTACTTCCCATAGTATAACGATGATTATGGTCACCCTTTATTTGAATCTGCCAATACTTAGTGTAATTACACCATAACAATAAGTAAAATTAATTAGCAACATGTGCTTACTATAAGTTTAGGGTTATTTTTAGTATTAGTTGCTTGTAATTATACATTATTTACTGTTATTACTATATCAA